AAATAAAAATACCAAGCAGATAGCAGGTATCATGTTTTCTTTTGGCAAATGTTAACACTTCACAGCTAGCATATCTTGCTTACTTAATTGGGCCTATAAAAACCCACCAGGCCATTTCACATGGAGCCATTGAAATTCTCTAGACCAATTCTTTATAGCTTTTCAGAGCCTGCCTGGGAAAACAGCTACAAAGAAGGCTGATAGAAAAGATTTTTCAGCTCTCAAATCCATATTTACAAACCTTACAATCTTTGTGTGTTTACTTGGTTTAAAATAGATGAAGTGAATAAATCAGGCAGGTTATTATTGCTCTTATTATTTTGGTTAGGGAAAGAAAAAAATAATATAGCACCGACAGGAGAGAAGAATAATGAAATATGTTGACTGAGGCAAGTCCCAAACTGCCCTAAATAGCTTCCAGACCACCTTGTCTGCAACTCACTGCAGATCCAACATGTTCAGTTGCTTGCTCTGAGACCATGTAGGAGCTGGCTACAGCATTTTCCATATATGCTATTATCCTATGAAGTGTTGGCTTAGATACCTGAATTCCTTAGCTAGATTGTGAGTTCCTCTAAAGTGGATATGAAGCCACATTCTTTCCGCCAATGACTGGCCTCCACCGAGACTGAGCAAATGAATATTTATTGAAATCGAGATTAAGGAAATAAATATTTATTAAAATTGAAGAGGAAGGAGATAGAGATAAATGGAAACGAAATACAAAGAGAAGAAATTGTGAGAGATGGCTTAGGCTCAAGCCATTGAGTGTGTGTGGTATCAAAGAAAAAAAAAAAAACTCAGTCCCATTGAGAAAAATACTTTAGAAATATTCACTTAATATTCTTTTTTTGGCAAACATTTTCATCATTTCTGGTTTAAAGACTTTTGTGGGTATACTTTCTTTCTCTCTGGCCTATTTATAATTGAGTATGAGAATACAGCTGGGCATCTGTATGATCAATAGAGTCAAGCAACCACTGGGGAGGGGGCATTTTTTTTTTAATGCATTGGACAACTATCAGTAAAAAGACCTGCCTTGCTGGCATGAGAGTCCAGGCTTTATTTCTAAGATCTTCATTTAAAAAACAAATAGTCAGGCTTGGTAGAATGTGCTTAGAATCCCTGTACTGGGGAGATTGAGACTGTTGAAATCTTTAGGTCAGCCATCCTAGCCTAAGGGACCCAAGGTCAGTGGGAGACCTTGTCCCATAAAGCAAAGCAAAGGTGACCAGCACCTGAAGAATGACGTCTGAGGTTCATGTGAGGACTCCATACATATACACACACATACGCACGTGCATACTTGTATACCCGCAATCATGAGCATACAGATATGTGTATGTACACAGTGCATATTACTGAACAGATATGTGTAATTTCCTATTACAGTTCTCTACATCATAGAGATTAAAAACTGTCTACATAGCATTGACCTTGTATTACGTGCTATCAATAGTCTGGAGATGTTCCAAAGTATACAGGAGAAAGCCCATGGGGTCTAAACAGATATGTGGCATTTTAAATAAGGGACTTGAGCATCTGTAGGTTCCTTATCTGTGTAGAACGGTTCTGAGGAAAGCAAGGGGGGGGGGATGATGGTTGCAGGGAGATTTATCTTCCTACATTCTCTCTTGGCAGCTCAAAGTTTTCCGGAATAGGATGGTTTTGGGGAACATTCTTTAGGTCTCTTGGCCTGAGCGTGGTACAGTACTGGGGCAGCTCTAAGTCTGTGAAACATTTCTGATGACCATAATCAGGATGATTATGTAGGCAAACATGGCCTTCTTAGCCATCCATGGAAGTGGAAAGGGCCGGTGTCCCATTTCCATTGCTGAATTTGAATGTAAGAATCCGTGTTGACTACTCAGAGAATTAGAAGTTGGTAGGGGTGTCTCTGCTTCCACATCCCTTGATTTAACTTTAACAAGAACTCTCGTGGTGCTGAGGACCAGCCTGCTGTAGACACTACAATCTTATGAAAGACACTTTGTTGGGCCTGGCTAAGAGGCAGAAATGAAGTGATAACTTTCTAAGTTTGCTTTCATAGATCTCTCCAAATGTAGCAAGAAAAATGTGTAATTTCTCAGGCCTCGCCTAGACAAAAGGTACCAGTGTTTTCCTTTGGCATAGGGAAAGGAGTGGAAAGGATGCTGAGATTCTAATCTCCAGTTTGGAGTATCTCAGGCGATCACAGAGAACACACTTACCTTTTATGACAGTGCAGTTCCCAGCATCCCTCTGGGATGCCTTAGACCCAAATTGTCTGGGAAACATAAAATCAGTCACATTTGGCAAGGCTCAATACCCCAGAGCATGGGAAACACAAATTAAAATAGATACTTCTTCAATCACTAAATTGTTTGGTTACAAGTTTGTTTGGTATAAAGAGAACATTAGAAAAGGGAGCTCCCAAAGGACCAGCCCCTCCCCCACCCCCAGCTCAGGTTTGGGGAGCTTCACAGGCATGTTTAGTCTCTTCGAGGCTTAGCATCTTTCCTCTGAGCTCAACGTAAAGAAATCTTTAAATAAGATTGAAATAACAAGGGCTTGTCATTCTAAAATTACTTTCCTACTGTGCTCATAGGAATCTGTAAACACTTTCCAATGCGTTGGACATGGTGTTCTGTTTTGGGGATAGGAGCAATCAGTTTATCACTGTGTTTTGTCTCTTAAGGGAGCCTGAGTTTAGCCTTGTGTGTGCCTCCCATCTCTTGTCTAAGGCAGTAAATCAATCAGGACCAAGTTAGACATAGGGTGAAGTATTACTGCATGTTTTATTCCCTAGAAACTCTTCTTTTCTAATTTTCTACTCTTCTTTTCTAAGAGACATAGTGTCCCACCACTGTAAATGTCATTCTGTTTAATTCTAACATCTGTATAGAACATAAATAGTTACTGGTTTGGATGTATAGGCTTGACATGCCTTTCTCCAAAAAGGTTGACATCACCGGGTTTGGATTACCAAGATGCACAATGTACTTCAGTCAATATGTATTTACACATTTCTTTGATTTTGGGTTTTTTTTTTTTAATATTTTGTTTTGAGATTGAATCTGGTTTCAATCTTACCATGTAGATGAGGCTGACCTTGAACTCCTGACCCTCCTTTAGTCTCCTCAGTGCTGGGATTACAGGTGTGTGCCACCGTCCCTGGATCTACTAGTGTTCTAAAACTCCATTCTGTATAAAGGGACTCTCCTGGCCTGAGGAGTTGCCATTCTTCTGAACAATGGTGGAGATGCTGAAACTCATGTCTGATCCACATGTCTTGTAGATGTGCAGATGTGAAAACTGAAGGGAATTAGGTCTGGTCTCCACATCTTGATCTTGTGAGCCAAAATATGTGTGAAACTAGAGTAGGAAAACACCTGTAATGTGCTTGTCTTTCTAAGGAGATGGTAAGGTAGGAGGCGCCGGTCATCCAAGAGGATACATAGGATAGGTTACAGTCAGGGCGCTACGGTGACCACACTCAGCTCTGCTCCAGTAGCAGCACCAAGAGCTAATACTTGGTAATGCGTATTGAGTGCCAGCTGCAAGTCAGGCACTGTAGCTGACAGGCTCTCATCATCTAGCTCTAAATTCCACCCCTGGGCATATTTGTGGGTGCTCCTGAGTTAAGAATATCTTCTAAAAACTGTACATCTAAAGAAACTAATCAAGTGAGAGGACCCTGACTAAAACACTCAATCCCCATCCAGAAAGGCAAAGAGGATGGACATCAGAAGAAGAAGAAAACAGGAAACAACCTAGGAACCTGCCACAGAGGGCCTCTGAAAGGCTCTGCCCTGCAGACTATCAAAGCAGACACTGAGACTTATGGCCAACTGTTAGGTAGAGTGCATGGAATCTTATGTAGGAAGTGGGAAATAGCAAGAGCTGGAGAGGACAGGAACTCCACAAGGAGAGCAACAGAACCAGAAAATTTGAACACAGGGAACTTCCCAGAGACTCATACTCCAACTGAGGTCTATTCATGGAGATGACCTAGAACCCCTTCACAGATGTAGCACATGACAGTTCAGTGTCCAAGTGGGTTCCATAGTAACGGGAAGAGGGACTGCCTCCAACATAATCTGATTGGCCTGCTCTTTGACCACCTCCCCCTCAGCAGAGGGAGCAGCCTTACCAGGCCACAGAAGATGACAATGCAGCCACTCCTGATGAGATCTGATAGACTAAGATCAAAAGGAAGAAGAGGAGGGCCTTCCCTATCAGTGGACTTGGGGAGGGGCATTCGTGAAGAAGGGGGAGGGAGGGAGGGATTGGAAGGGGCTTATGGGGGGATACAAAGTGAATAAAGTGTAATTAATAATGATAATAATAAAATAATATCTTATAGGTAGACTTACAAGATGGGGGGGGGGAATGGTGCTACCCAGAGAAATCAGAGCACACCTTCAGTGCTGACCATGTCATTTTCTGCTCCTTGAATGTTTGAATGAATTAGCACAGAGAGTCCACATGCAAAACATTCTCCTACCTCAAGGCATGCCATCCTATTATACTGGGAAGTTGGGAAACATGGATTGCTCAGATCTCATATAAAAACAATTGATATCTTTGACATGAATCCTCTGAAATTTACTTCTAGTAACCCTTTGTTCTAAAAAAGAGACAGCTCATATTGCAAAGTCTATTAATGATGGGCCCAATATATAAGGTCTAAGAGCAGGAGTGGAAGGATTAAGATGCACAAACATTTCTTGTCTTCTCTAAAGTAGCTGACATCTGCTCACCCCACACCAGTGAGGGAGCCAACAGGAAGTAAGTGTGAGAGCAGATAGAATGAACAAGTACAGCTGTGTGGTTTAATTTATATAAGCAACTTCTGTGGGAGAAGATGGCTGTGGTCTGGGTAATGTTCATATCTATAAAACTCAAGAAACCTGAATGTAACCCGATATGCACAGAACTTTCTTGACCCAGCTGTGTACTTCTGCTCTGAATTATGTTGGTAGAGAGGAATTTATGATCGGAATCAGGCGTGGGCTTACCCAGTTGAGGTCGTGGTCAGACGGCCGTGTTCTTCCCTCTTCGTTTTCATAGAAAGGGAAACCTTCTCTCCTAGCCTGGTAATACTCTTTCCGAAGCTTCTGGATGCGGTCAGTGGTTCCAGCCACGGGACGGCCGCTGCAGCACATGAATAGACATGGTCACATGGTGTGTGTCAGCCTCCGAGATCCTCTTACTCTCCCTATGATGGGGCTTGACATCCCACTTTGAAAGATTTGACAATGTAATTTAAACGAGGAAAATGGTGAAATCCGTAATAGAAATGTGGAAAGAAAGTACATCTCTGTCTCTCTCTCTTTCTGTCTCTCTCTCTCTCTCTCTCTCTCTCTCTCTCTCTCTCACACACACACACACACACACACACACACACACTTCTGACTTGGGAGTAATAAATGCTTTGGGAATGAGAAGGTGAAAAAAATATCCTGACCTTTTAGAGCAATTAAAAGGCTCACCACTCTTCTTCTTATGATCATATATACGGTGTTTTGGTTAAATTTCAATACGGGCATTTCATTCCTTCACATGCCATTTCTTATTTGAGATTAAATCCCAGTTGTTTGACCTGAAGGTTCGATGTGACAAACGACTGGCTGACATGCACCAGGATTCCTCTCAGTTAAGCTCGAGAACTTTTGGAGTATGCAAGCTCACGCGCGTGTTTATGTGTGTGTCTCTGGGTATGCATGTATATGCATGTGTGTGTTAGGGGGTGGGGGAGACAGCAGAATGTAGGTCAACATGTGAGAAAAGATAGAGCATAGGTAAGGAAAGATGGTAAAGATACAGCAGTAGATGGAAAACTGGGGTAGGAGAAGGTGGATAACACCTCAGTGTTTTAGTGAGCTCCTTGTCCAAGGGGCATTTCTCTGCATGCTAGCCTCTGATTCTGCCTAAGACAGAGAGTGTGCCCAGTGACACTCTGGACAGCTAGCGGCCCCTTGTTTGGGTTGATTTGTTATGGTTATTTTAACAGAATCAAGCTCCTGCTTCTGTTTTATAATCCAGACAAAACAGATATTCAGGTCTGCAGCGCCTTTGAACTTCACTGGTTCCTTTACGGATTTTGTGGCCAACTGTGCCAGGCCTCACACTGAGAACTGGTTGCTGTAACGAAGAACAGTTCATCTTCTTTCCCTGGAAGAGTCCCATTCTGGGAGGAAGAGGACAGAACGACCCACAGAAAACCAGGATCTGCACAGGGGTTACGGGGGCATGAGCTGAAATGTCGACAGGTTGAGATCAGGCCACGGGAAGTGACAGTGGAGGTCTCCACAGAGGAGGTGATGCTCCAGCTCAGTGGTTCTCAACCCGTGGGTCGAGACCCCTCTGAGGGTCTCATATCCGATATCCTGCATATCAGATATTAACATTAGGCGTCACAACAGCAGCAAAATCACAGCTACGAAGCAGTGACAACATAAGTCTATGTTTGGAAGCCACCACCACATCAGGACCTGTAGTTAAGGGTCACAGTATTAGAAGGTTGAGAGCTACCGATCCTGCTGACCCTAAATGGCTGGGTAGGTGAGGCGGGGGGCAAAACCAGGTAGGGAGAGGGCAGAGCAAGCAAATCTGGCTTTGGGGATTCATTTCCCAATTGGGACATTTGGGCAGGTGGTGGTCCCGGCTGCCTTTGCTCTACCGCCTACACATAACACATGCCATATGCTCCCTTCCTCATGTCAGTCAGTAAGAGGAAGGGCTAGTGACCCGAGCCTTGGAGAAGAATCACTCTGGGAGCAGCTGGGGGAAAGGAGACAAGTGTACGCTGGACAGGTAGCCAGGGGCCCTGATATGAAGAACCTTTCTTGTCACGTCACACGTGAGTTTTACATTTAAATATGATATCTAATTTAAAAAAATGTGAGCTATCTAAAAGCAAATTAAAGTATTTGAAAATTAAGCTGGGGATTATATAAAAAAGAAAGTAGTGAAAATAATCATATTTGCAAGCCAGTCTTCAACTTTGTGGCAAGGCAGTGGATAGCACGGCCACATGTTGGCTCTGTGGTCTCCTGCTACCAAGTGTGTGCTGGCCACCGGGCTTCGTGGATACACCAGAGATGGCCACAGTGGATGCTTTGAATTAAGGAGCCACAATCCCTGAGGTCAGAGAGATGGCTCAGCAGTGATCAGGACCCGAGTTTGATTCCCAGCACCTATGTCAGGAAGGTCACAGCCACCGATAACTCCAGCTCCAGGGAATCTGCCACTTCTGGCCTCTGTGGGCACCTGAACTCACACGCACACACCTAACTGAAAATGGTAGGAATAAATCTTTTTAAAGAAAGAATAAGACGTGTGTGTGTGTGGGGGGGGGGTGGTGGTGGTAGGGAAGCACAGACTTTTATTTTCCTATTTAAAAATTCTGAAAATAGTTATAAGCCCCCCTTTTTTATTTTTTAAAAGAGTTAACCCTCCAAGACAATAAGGACCCTCCGCTTTGCCAGAGCACTTGGGGCGAGGGCAGCCTGCTCAGCTCTGAAAGCTGCCCGGGCTCTTTAGTAATAAGGCTTCTGCTGGTTATGGGGATGCGAGAGCAGCATTCAAACTCACCAGATGAGTTCAATCAACATGGTGCAAACATTGCATACATAATCTATTAGTTTACCCCAAAGAAACTGAAGCATTGAATTCAAGTCGAATGAAGTCATCAGTAATAAAGGAAAACAGAAAAAGGGAAGAAAGGGATTGGGAAGGTGCTGTTTTTAAAAAGGACCAAATACCACAATATTCTTCTGTTGGTGGTGGGAAAAAAAAATCACATTCCGACTATAAACTGTTCTTCCAGATGCCTATAAATACATAAATTTTAAAAATATGGGTTTGATCAGATTACCATTCTCAAATAAGACAGTAGGGCAAGAATATAAAAGCAGCTGTTCAGGATTCAAAAAAGTCCCCGATGGCTGACAGGAGCATGACTATTTACCTGGAAAAGAAAGCTGGCTCTAGTAAAAAACAGGAGGAAAGTCATGGAGCGTCTCCATGCAAAGCGTGCTGTGTCTTCTCCCAAGTGTGAATATTCGAAGATGATATTCGGAATAAAGTGCAAGTCTTTTATCACAGCCTGGGACTATCTTTCAATACTTGGTCTTATTTTCCTTCCTGCCCTCCCTTAGCAACAACCAAGTATTTTCCTAAGTGTTGTATATGTTAATGTTAGGACTCCCATATTCTGATTTCGGTTTTCAGCTCTTCTCGGTAGATAACACACATACTTATCACTAAATTAATATCATATTATGTATTATAGTGTTATAAGCAGAGCAATCAACTTGATGCTAGATTTATGCACACTTTGTACCAATGGTATCGGCCATTATAATAATTTATACCATAATGTATTGATGCAAACTTTTATATATACTATCTGTCAGAGTGCACCTCACTAACCAATTGAAGGACCCTAGACAGTCTCAGAATCCGTTTCAAGCTATAATTTCAGAAAACCACTACTAAGCTATTGGGCTGGACACTTGAATGGACTTTTCTTATAATTCTATTGTAGGAGCTTTGGAAAATACCTCAAAATCTGGAACGAATATTGAAAAATAAGGTCTATTATTCTTCTCATTAACATGAAGAAGATGAAGCTCACAGCTGATAGACGACAAAGGTCAATCTGACTCCAAACATCCCCACTGACTGGAGCGCTCCACTTGCAACGACAGACCACTTTTCTTCTACCTCGTTTGTATCTCAGAGGCTTGAGCCTCTGGCAAACACCAAACATCAGGGACTTTAAGGCTAGCACACAGGACTTGACTCCTGAAGGTCCCTCGGTGCCGTCCGCTCTATCTTCTTGTTTTTATGGAACGTAGCAGAAGGAATTCTGGGAAAACTCCTACCTGACATACTCAGAAGTGATATCAAGTTCTTATGCAACTCAGACCTCTTAAAGTTTTAGACCCTCACATCTGCATTACTACATGGAAGGTTGGGCTTCCTGTGTTTGTTGCTTCTCTGTTTCTGAGCCAGGACAAGGATTATAGCTGTGTGTGACCACACCCAGCTGAGTCTGGCCATTCTTAACAAAACTCTATCCATATGTGGGTGATTGGTAATGGCCTTTGAACGTTGAATTAGTTTAAGCCATATATCAAGACATTTACGCCATTTAGGATTTCTTGTCAATTACGTACCCTATAGCCTATGTTTTTAAAGGCAGATGGATCTCTAAGTAGGCCCTTATAGCACTGCTGAGGCGGACAGAGCTCAGTGCAGCAATGGGCTTCATTTTCTTTGCAGTGATCTACAGACATAAATAACCACCATATGTAAAAACCTTCACACCAAGGCATATATATATATATATATATATATATATATATGGGGAGGGATATAAACTTACTCTTCCCTGCTCATAATTCCCTCAGTAGGAGCACTTCTTAGAAATAAGTACTGGTCTGAGCATGATGTAGGCTTCTTTCCTTGCTGCTCGGGCTGGAGAGAGTAAACCAGCTTTATGGAGCATCTGTGATGTCCCAGACACAGGATCTGTGCTCATGTCATCCAGTTCCGGTTAAGTCTGTGTGGATGATGTTGTTGTTAGCCAGACTCATGCACCGAGGCTCACAGAAGTAGGGAAACACAAGTGGTGAGCGGTGGGCCAGGATTTGTGTGCCTGTAAAACTCTAGCTGTTTCTTCTATATCATGTTGCCTTGGGAGAAAGGCATTAAAATGCAGCAGGCATTTTGGAACAGCAGTTCACAGGCATTTCAACGCAGAGGGAATTTAGCACAGCACATTTATAGGCATACCTTTTGATATTCTTTTATTTGCACAGATCTTTGCTATAAAAATAGAAATAGAAGTAGCTAAAGTAATAGGAATACAAGCAATGAAGTCTGTGTTCATTAAAGGAATGATGTTGGAGCAATCGCAGACCAACATTTCTGGGCAATTAATATTATATCACTAACAGGCTTATGTGGGAAACTGGTGTAAAACTGAATGGGGTGTAGGAGAAACTCAACATATGACTAAGATCCCACATGAAAGACAAAGACTGTGGATGAGGACCAGGTTGGAGAGGCAGCCAGTGCCACAGCAGGACAAGTTTTGTCTATGTAGAGTTTTATTTTTCTAACTATATTTGGAATTCCACAAA